CTACATTAATATGACCAGAGAGTAGAAATAGATTGATATTACTTGGGTGAATATCATTTTTTGTATATAGTACAACCTGGTATCTCCAGATTTATTAGGACTGACTCTAATAAAAAAATCTGTGCCTTCTGTAGAATTTCTCCCTGTTGTTGTAAGTCTCACCCATCAGAAAGAGGAAAGGTAAAATAGTGTAGGTTATTACCTACCAGCCATTTAACAGAGGAAGAAATGTATGTGGATGAAGGGTAGTAAGGTTGCTTAATCCAGACACTCGTACTTGGTAGACAGACAATATCCAAGATCCCATATTATAGTTCTAGGCATCCAGCAGTGAGCCAGCAAATCAGTCCCTCTGTCTGACATTGTCACTAATTCTAACAAGTCTCAGTCTCTCCTCACATCTGTGCTCCCACTACATCACTCCTGAGCTCATCCAGCTTGGCTGAAAGGTAGATAGTATATTTCCTTCCATGAGTCAAGTGAGACAAAATTTTATCTCCCAAACTTTTGCTAATAAACTAAATGAAAAAATAGTCAAGAAAATAAAAATGGAGTTTAGGAGCCCAGATGAAAGTGGCTTCAACACTGTTCAATAATGAGAATTTTACCACATGAGGGAGGAGCTCATTACATGATTAGATCCTTTCAGCCAGTGCTTGCTCATATTGGATGAAAACTAGTGAATAACTAGGTGAACAACTATTGTTCTTCTGTTCCTCAGTCTGCTTCTGGAACACAGGGTACATTTCATATCACAGGGTAAAAACTATGATGTTCACCCTAAGTCTTTGGGGGTCAAATATCCAGTTTATTTAATCATTCCAGACTATGAATCTGGCCAGATCTTTCTGAAGTGCTGAAATTTGTTACTATTCCTCTATACTGAGACCAACAGAACCAAACAAAAATTTACAGGTTTAACATAGATACATAGAGGGTATAATAAAACTAGTCCCTCTCATTTTTACTCACCTGCGGCCAACACAGCCTAAGCTTACATTAGTCATTGGCAGCCATGTTTCATGACCACTTATATTTATGCAGAATTCCTTTTCAAGGAAATGTAACATAACTTCCCATTCCCTAAAGTGTGGGTTATCCTTAATGCCTTGCTTTAAAGAATACAACATAGAAAGAGAAGGGAAAGTAACTTTATAGTCAAGAAATCTGGTAAATACTACCTTGCATAGTAAGTCACTTCAGTCGTGTCTGACTCTTGGTGACCCTATGGACTGTGTAGGCTGCCAAGCTCCTCTCCCTATGGGATTCTCCAGGCAAGAATACTGAAGTGGGTTGCCATGCCCTCCTCCAGGAGATCTTCCCAACCCAGGGATCAGACTGGCATCTCTTATGCCTCCTGCACTGGCAGATAGGTTCTTTACCACTAGTGTCACCTGGGAAGCCCAAATACTACCTTAGCCAAGGTTAAACACCATCTATGGGGTATGTCATGTAGACAGCATGTACCCTTGATATGAAGTGTTGAGAACAGTGCTTTACCTCTGTAGTTTTCATCCCCCAAAACCTATAACCCTCGTCAAAACCTGAGAGAAACATCAGGCAAACCCAAATTGAGGGACATCCTGCAATATACCTGGCCAGTATCTGGAATTATCAAGGTCATCAAAAACATCTTCTTAGAGTCTAAGGAGACATGACAACTCAATGTAAATGGTGTCCTGGATGGGATAGGGTTGAGTGGGGAACAATTCATAGTTTTCTTTTCCCTTATTCCAAATCATCAGACTGGAACAGCAAGAGGACATAAAAGGGGGAAAATCAGTGGAATTCAAATAAAATATGAAGTTTAATTTAGAATGTATCAATACTGGTTCATTAGTTATGACAACCATACCAGACTAATGTAAGATGTTAACAATATGGAAAAATGGGTGAGGTGTATATAAGAACTCTCTGCACTGGCTTGCAACTTTCAGCAAATTTGAAACTATTCCAAAATAAAAAGCTTATTTAAATTTAAAAAAAATCTATAGGAAGAGCAGAAGAATTTTAAGCATAGGCACTCAGTAAATTAACCATTGTTATCACCTCATGAAGAAATATTTTGGGAGCAATATTAGATGGTTTTATTTGTTTTGTTTCTCTGTGCTTTGAAGCATGTGGGATCTTGGTTTCCCATCTAGGAATCAAACCCATGTCTCCTGCAGTGGAAGCAAGAAGTCCCAACCACTTGACTTCCAGTGAATTTCCAATATATGTTTTGCTATCTTTTTTCCCTCCTCAGCTTTCAGCACTCTGGAAAATAACTGGTTTTGAATTAAGCTATAAGAGTTCAGCATATACATAAAGCTGTGAAACTGATTGAGTCTTTACCATACCACCACTGCAAGAATGGGTGGGTTTGGGGTTTTATTTTTTGGATCATCATCTTGCCTGACTAGTCTGATAATTTGGAATAAGGAAAAAGAGAACTATGAATTTATCCCCGCTCAACCCTATTCTGGCTACCATTTCTCTCTCTTTTTTTTTTTTTAAAAAAAAAAGCTTGTATTTTGACATCATAAAAGTAATTTTGAATTAGTAATATTATTTCCTGCTGCATCTTTGTCCCACAGCAGTGACAACTCTGGGAGCAAGGACTGTGTCTGGATTGCTCAGCAGTGTACCTCCAAGCTCAATGAATTTGTGTTGGATGAATAAGTGAATGATGAAAAAATTTTTTTTCTTCTGTATACAAATGACATGATTTATGCCCATGGGGGGATTTAACAGAGCATTATATCTAAGTACCATCAATGAGACTTAAGATGGACGGCTCTAAAACCAGAATGCTCAGTTTAGCAAATATCCTTATTTTGACTTCTTTAATAATCCAAGGTAGCATGTAAATTTAACTAGGAGAACTAGGAAAACATTTTCAGTTAATCTGTTTTGGAAGGTTAGAAATTAATTTTAATTAATATTAAAAAGCTCATCATTGCTGCAATAAAATTTTTATGACAACAAGGATTGCTGACAACTGGTTGAATAATTTTTTAGGCTAAAATGACATGATCTTGCTTTATGGCATTCAACTTCTGAAGTTCCAAAAGAAGACTGTTTTCTAAGGAAAAATCATGACCCCATGCCTCTATAAAAGGAAATGAATTAATCAGCTTCATGGGTATTAGGTCATTTTTATAAGAGAACATATGGTCTACCCTCCAACTAGTTGCTTTTCTGAGCTTAGGGATCTATCTGTAATTGGCAAGATCAAATATTCTCAATGTAGAAAATTTATAATATTAAACTTAAAACCTCATATTATCTGTAACCAGTTATTATACAAAACTTATTTATATGAAATGCTACTTGTAAAAAAAATACCTGAAAGCTATGCAGTCCATTCATTCCTTAATACTGGAGTTTCTTGACCTAGGACTCATAGGACCCCTGAAATTATGTACAAAGTATGAGTGTATATATATAAAACCCCTAGTAAAGGGTCTATAATTTCATCAGAATTTCAAAGTGGTCCACAACTCAAAGAATGTCAGGCCCCCTAATTCAAAATTTATTCTTGGATCAAATCAAACCATTAGACAATTCATATTACTTTTGATGCTTTTGAAATTGTTTGTATTTAATTGTGTTTGGGTGTGCTGGCATCAAGTTATATTGAAAGCTATCTGTTATTGTTGGGATACTTGAAAACACAATGCTTTAACCCATGGCAGCCATTATAAAAAACCTATGGGACAGACAGACTTCTATTGATCCTTAGACCTAGGAAAAGCTAGGCTCCCAAACATATTGCTTGGTCCCCACTGTGAATCTTGAAACCGTTCATGAGCCGCAATTCACATTGGAAATTCAGACTAAATTTATGGCTACCGTTTATCAAAGGTATAGAACTTTATGACATACATTTAAAAGCTTTGATCTAAAACTTTAACTGCATATTATTTGTTTCCTATTTCTCATCATCCCAATCTCTTAATCTAATTCATGTTATTCTATTGTTTGGTATATTTCTTTAAATTCCACATCCTTTTTAGGATAAAATGTGTTATATAAATGGAAACATAAAAACAATTTTTGTCTTCTAGAGACAAAAATTCTACCCAATTACATTTTACTAAAGGGCTTCCCTGTTAGCTCAGTTGGTAAAGAATCCACCTGCAACACAGGAACACCTTCTCTCTGCTGGAGAAGGGACAGGCTACCCACTCCAGTATTCCTGGGCTTGCCTTGTGGCTCAACTGGTAAAGAATCTGCCTGAAATTGCAGGAGACCTGGGTTTGATCCCTGGGTTGGTTGGGAAAATCCCCTGGAGAAGGAAAAGGCTACACACTCCAGTATTCTGGTCTGCAGAATTCCATGAACTATAGAGTCCATGGGGTCACAGAGTTGGACATGACTGAGTGAAGCTGGACATGACTGAGTGACTTTCACTTTACTTTTGCACTTTACTAAAATGAAGTTTCTTACTACTCTTCTGTACGTTATTCCTTTTTTTAAAATGAGGGCAATAAAAATGAGAACATAAAATGAAATTTTAGTCCTTAATGGATAAAAAATAATATATAAGATAGCTTGGTGATGAGACAAATATATCAGAAGCCACAGAGTACACTACATCAAGATTAAATATTACTTTTTAGGATAATATTGGCATTAGTTTTGGCAGTTTTAAGGTCAATATTATATATAACACCAGATAAAATTGGTTATTATTTTACTCCACTGATCATTGTATTAAAATATATATATTGTATTTGCATTTTAAGTGATGTTTTCTTTTAAAAAAAAGATGCTTTACAAAGATGGCTTCTAAATAAAAAATTATTGACAAATTATCCAAAAATATAGAAATGATGATTCTAACAATTACACATCAACAAAAATACAACCTTCATCAATATTAAAGAACTGGAAATAACAATTTTGATAAATGCTGTAGGAAATATTTGAGCTCATAAATACTGACACAGGGTTAAATTTTCAGGTTGGTGTCATCCTGCTTGAGGTATTTTTCCGTGTTCTCTTAAATGTAAAACTCACGTTTTATAAAATCCAGTCCTGTAAAGTCAGAGAGGAAAAATTGTTAACACTTATTTTAATATGATTCTTAAGTTTCCCTCCCTTTAAGCAACCCTACTGAAAAAATTAATTTCAAAAGTCTAAACACATGTTGATGTTTAAAATTTTTTTAACAAATGTAATATGAATAATTACAGGGCTAAATGACTTTCTTCAGAACTATTCATGGGAAAAAATGATATTTATTTAATGATTACCAAAATATATTATATTCCAAGATCATTTAGAATCAAGTATTTGCACATCAGAGCTCCCATGGCTTCTAAACAATATAAATCAGCAAAAATGAAAATCAAAGCTGATCATATTAGGAAAAATACGGCAAATTTGCTAGCTTATTAGATAAACTTTAAAAATCAGAAAGATTAAATGTTGAATTTTTAAGAAAACCAAACTGCTATTATCTCAGTACATATTTAAATTCTCTTATCTTCTATAGAAAATTATACCTGGGAGACATCAACTGTCTTCTGCCCATTCCATGAGATCTTGAAAGCAAGCAGTCTACATACATGTCCCAGAAATCCTGAGCTATGCTTAAGAAGACATTATAATGTCTAGGCCACTGGGATTTTTGCAGGAACAACATGAAATTCCAGAAAGCATCCACATTGTGCTCTATCTTGAGTTCCTTGAGCTCTATCAATGTCAAAGAGCACATATTCCAGCACTGGGGATCAATGTCTTCCATGATCCCTGGGTTGTTGCTGGCAAGTACCCCCTTTTGAAATTCAAAGTCAGCATGAGTCAGATGGATCAGCAACATGCAACCCAAAGGCAGGTAGAACCATCTTGTGGCAAAATCCATATTCTGTATAGAAAAAAAAAGAAGGAATATGTTCTTAGCTTAAAAAAGAAAATTATTCAATTACTTTATGATCTGTTTAAACCTAAAAATTATAAATACTTATATATTTGGTTTTCATCAAATCAAAATTGCCTACTATGTATTTGCTGGTTTTCCTTTAAGTTGCTGACTTTCAGACCTCCCCTCAAAAGGGTATTAGAGTAACAACTTTACCAACATTCTGATAAAGTCTTCAGGAGTCACTGAAATCCAACACATGTTTATGAAGTTGTGATGAGAGTCATTTCATCAAAGATCTTTGGAGCATGTGCTCCAACCTTTTCCTTTTACAGGTTAGAAAAATTCTCTTGATATGGTTCAGCAAGTTCTTAGGTCTTCTGTCTCCCTATCCAAGACTCTTACCACCATACATTTCAATCAAGAGGATCAAAATGTAGCCCATTTTATGTGTAACCATAAGAAAAAGAGTGTGTGGTTGTGTTTCACTGGCGTTTTCCAATCTATTAAGTGTTGAACACTCAAGCACCATTTTAGGCTTCAAAGTTACTGATGAACTTTTGAATATTCATTAAAAAATACGTTATGCACTGATATCTAGTGGATCCCTGGCTTTTCTCAAGTTGTTCAGGAGTCTGAAGACAATAAAGATGATAGAAGCTAATATGACATGGTGCAACACAAATGACATTCAAGAAATGTCATTCAAGAAATTCAAGAAAAATTCTGATATTTTCTCATGATTCTGTGCACCAATTTCTCTAAAAACTGACTGCTCAGTAAATGGGCCTGAAGCGTATAGATGAAGTCAATGTCTAAATTCGCTTTGAATGGCCATACAGTTAATCATTCCAGGCTGGCACTGGAAATGTCCCTGACACAACCTTCACAGCCAGGAGTGGAGTGTCCAGGACAGATCCAGGAGATGGGACTCACATTCTTCCCTGTATACCGCGGTCCTTCACTCCCCCCGCCCCTCCAGCATTCTGCCTCCCCGCCAAAAGAAATAAAGTTAGGTGAAAGAGACACATCGAAGGAAACAAATTTAAATTTAGGTTATTCAGGTCGTTTCACACTGTGGAAAATTGTGCAGATTTCCCAAACACAGCTAACACGATTTCCCCCAAATTGTGCATATTTCCCAAGTAAAGCTGACAGTGGCCAGTTTATGGCACAAAGGGACTGAGTGGGACCAGAGAATTTTCTTCCCCGAGAATTTCAGGTTACTTTCCCGATCCAGTGCTCTCCTCCCGGGTCGGGTCACCTGCGCGCAGAGGGAGCCGGCGGGGAATGGTACCTCTCCTAGGCGGGGAATGGTACCTCTCCTAGGCGGGGAATGGTACCTCTCCTAGGCGGGGAATGGTACCTCTCCTAGGCGGCAGAGACAGACGTCCTGGTGCGATCTCCTGCGTTCGTTCGCTGCGCTTCCTCGAGGTACGAGGGTGGCTCCTGCTTGGGGGGACAAGAGATCTCAGAGGGGACTCCCATCCCCTGCCCAGCCAAGCCCACCCCCTGCAGGCAGGTGACAGGCGAAAGCGGTGCTCTGGGACCTGCCGCGAGCGCTCACCGGGCACTCCGAACTCGCCCTGCGGAGCCCTCTAGGCGGCACCGTGCTGCGGAGCCAAGTGGCTCAGGCTCCTTGACAGCGGCGCTGCGGAACCTGCTGCTGCCGCTGGGGGCTCCGCAGTCAGCCCTGCAGACCGAACCACGCGCCTTTTCTAGAGACCGAGAGCCGGCAGAGTGGGTGGCTGCTCTCAAGGCCCCGCCCTCACCTTGCTCATCTCCGCAGCCCTGAGACCCAGAAACAAGAACAATGTGAAAAAGAGTAGTAAAGTCACAAGACCATCTCACTAAAATACGATAGGTGAAAAATCCTAAACAAAATATTATCAAACCAAATTCAGTAGGATCTAGGAAAATACACATCAGCATCAAGCTGGGATTATCCTAATTAATGAAAGATCAACACATGAAAATCAATTAGTGGATTCACCACATAAACAAACTGAAGAGAGAAACCATTTGATAAAATTCAACACCCATTCAAGATTAAAACAAAAGACAAACAAAAATATTCTTAGTAAATTTAGAAGGGAATTTCCTTACTCTCTTAAATGATTATGGTTCCCAACAAATGTGTTATGTGTATTCTTTTCTACTGTCAAATAATGCATGTTAAAACTTCTAGAACAGTGACAAGATTACATAGTTCAAATACATAAAGACAAAGCTTAGTAACTAGTCACATTGATATGACATGGAAAGAAAAGAGAACTAATGTTTTCGGTATGCCTGCTTTTGGAGGGTGACAGTAACAATATGAAAAACAGAAAGGAGGATTAGCGGGGAGGTTAAACTTGATCCAGGATGTGTTGTATTAGAATTAATTCTGGATCTTCTGGAGTATCTAAAATCATCTAGAAATCAAATTAAGTTGAGAGATCTCTGTTTTGATAGAAAATTATTGCTCCCATTAAAGTATACACTGATAAAGTTAAGATGAAGATAGAAGACTATGCCCAAACTTAGGGGTCCATGAACTTCAAATGGAATCAGTGAAGAAGGAAGAGATAGAACAATCAATCCATATAAGCTCCAGGTGGTATGATGTGACAGAACCAAAGGGAGGATGCTATAGTGTGAATGTTTGTGCCCCTCCAGACTTTATGTTTAAATTCTAATCCCCAGAGGTGATGGTATTAGGACATGGAGCCCCATGGGAAGTGTTTATGGGACCAGTGCCTTATAAAAGGGGCTTCCCTGGTGGCTCAGATGGTAAAGAATCTGCCTGCAATGCAGGGGACCCAGGTTTGATCCCTGGGTGGGGAAGATCCCCTGGAGAAGGAAATGATAACCCATTCCAGTATTCTTGCCTGGAGAATTCCATGTACAGAGGATCCTGACAGGCTATAGTCCACAGGGTCACAAAGAGTTAGATATGACTGAGTGACAAACACTGCCTTTAAAAGAGGCTCCAGAGGGAACCTGGCCCCTTCTATCAGGTGAGGACACAGCCAGAAGAAGGCAACCCAGAAAAGAGCCTTCACTAAAACCCAACCATGCTGGTACCCTGATCTTGGGCTTCTAGCCATCAGAACTGTGAAAAATAAATTTTTGTTGTTTATAAACTAGCTGGTTTGTGGTATTTTGTTATGTAATCCTGAATGGACTAAGACAGAGGATATAGCTGAAGAATCAGAACACTAGATAGGTCTCCACTTGGAGAACTGGTCTAGAAAATAATATTTTTCATGTGGTAAACAGAAGGAGTGATGAAACTCAAAAGTGCACAATTTATTTAAACATAGCCATGATAAATTCATGTAGAAGCTTAGATTTAACAACTTGTTATTTATAAATTCAAGTCAACTAATCCATCTAATTATAATTTTGTCTAAAACAAACCCTGAATAATATGCAACTTTCCATACCAGGTATCATATTTACCAACATACGTCACCAGCAGCAATATATTCATCACCATCTTATCATGATCCTCTTATTCCAGCATATGCCCGTTGTCCCCAGACTTCATCATTCAAGTTATATCCTATCTCTCCCTTTCTCTCTGTTATGTGAGGCCCTGATCCCACTTCAAAGCCCCCTCCATTTAACTCAGCCTTCCTTCTGCAATTAAGCATCCATTTTTCACTATAATATTTGGCATCTATTTGTACTTGGCATCTATGACTATATATATTGTCTTTTCCCCCCATGAGAACATGTAATCTTTCCTACTATCTTTAGGAAATATTAAATACTATCTAAATACTAAAAATACTATCTTTATTTCATGTTCTTCTGGTGACTGGCATATGATGCGATCAGCACTCAATAAATATTTTTTAGCTGATTTCTCCTTCATATTCTAGTATTGCCTGTGAAAATTTCCTGGGTTAGTCAGGCCAGTAGCCTATTCATTTGGCCCCAGGCTTCCTACCTTATGATCGCTTATCTGACACTTCTGTTTACCCTATTTCTTCTTTATATAGCTTTATCTCCAGGAAATACTGCCACAATCACACTCCCACAGAATTCAGAAGAGCACTCCACACACAGCAAGGACACGTTGACTAACTAATGTTGAATACCCACACAAAGAGTAATTTTTCAAGAGTAATTTTTCAATTCACTGACTTTCTGACTCATTATAATGAAAGATGTTAATTTAAAACATCTACCAATGTAATGGCCTCTAGTAAACCTTAATAACAATGTATTTATCAAAATGTGATTCAATGACCTTAGGGAGAAAGAGGGCAGGAAATGAAGTTGAAACAAATAAGTACCCTGCAGAGAATACAAGCACTAGCTGACTGCTGACAAATTGAAGGGAAAATAGGCAATTTTTTTTTCAAGAACATAGGAGAAAAAGATGAACAAAACACTGACTCTGAGGCAGGAGAAAAAGAAAGAGCTGAAGAGAGAAGTTGAAAAAAAGATCATATAATCTTAACCCTTGGCAAAAAAGACCACTAACAGAAATATTTTGTCATCATTTAATAAGTACAAGAAATAAAAAGTTTGACTTAGATTTGTTTATCTTTATCTTTGGTTTATCTAACACAGCATATGTATAAACATGTATTCCAGCATCCTTATTTTACCTCTTTGCATTAATTTTTAGTGGTTGTTTTACGGATCACAATATATATCCTTAACTTTTCACAGACTACTTAGGGTTAATATTGAGTCAATTCATGTCAAATACAGAAGTCTTTCAAGACAGGAGTTCATTCACTCACACTTGCCTGTTTTTGCTAAAGTTGTCAAATGTATAGCATCTACATACATTAAAATTCCATGATAGATACTACAATCTTCAATGCTCTCATCCGTACCCCCAACAACAAGATCTGAATTTGCATCTCTTTTTATTTCTCTTTAGCCTGTAGTACTTCCTTTAGTGGGTCTCCCCTAGTGACTCAGATGGTTAAAGAATCCACCTGCAATGTAAGAGAGTTGGGTTTGATCCCTGGGTTGGGAAGATCCCCTCGAGAAGGGCAGGGCAACCCTCTCCAGTATTCTTGCCTGGATTATCTCATGGACAGAGGAGCTTAGCAGGCTACAGTCCATAGGGTTGCACAGAGTCGGACACGACTGAAGAGATTTAGCATGCATGCACACACTTCCTTATTAGTTCTTATAGTGCATGCCCACTGTCAATATATTCTTTTAGTTTTCTTTTTCTGAAAATATATTTTATTTCACCTTCATTCTTGGAAGGTAATTTTCACTGGATATAGAATTCTGATTTGTTGCAGTCTTGTTCTCCCTTCCCCTCCGGCACTTTAAAGATGCTCCACTGTGTTCTGGTAGTCAGTAATTCAAATCAAATTCAAATGCAATGTATCATTTTTCTCTGACAGCTTTCAAAATAACTTTTCCCCTCAAATTTGATAATAATGTGCCTAGGTTTGCGCAGTGCAGTTCTGATTCTTGTTGGGGCAATCTGAGCACAGATTGGAAAAGAATCCCCAGACACAGTGTGTTTTAGTTGCTCAGTCATATCCAGCTGTGACCCTATGGACTGCAGCCCACCAGGCACCTCAGCCCATGCAATTCTCCAGGCAAGAATACTGGAGAGAGTTGCCATGCCCTTCTCCAGGGGGATCATCCCGACCCAAGATGGAACCTGGGTCTCCTGAATTACAGGCAGATTCTTCACTGTCTGAGTCACCAAGGAGGCGCCAAGATACAGAGTGTGCAGAAAAGAGTGAGCGTATTAAGAACAAAGAGTAGAGATAAGGCGGGGACTGCAAGTGCAGCAGGCCAACCTCCTGACAGACCAGGGAGAGTCAAGCGCTTTCGAGAGTTAATAGCCAATTTTTATAGCCTTAAGATAAAGAAAATTCCTGTTGGAAGATTGGTGTTAGGTGACTGGTTGGAGTGCTATAAGGTGTCTACTGTAGTGGGCATCTTTGTCTAATTGGGAGCCAGGAATTTTGTTAGTGATGATCAACAGGGCTTTTGGCAACAGTTACAAAGGGACTCAGTCAGCTTTAGAAGTGAGCTTAGTTCTGGGTTTCCCTTCTGTGACCTTAGGGCAATGCCTCAAACCTGTAGTCTGGGGGGCAAGACTCAACAATGCTAACTACCTAGAATTAGGCCACATTTGGCAAGTTAGGAGCATAATCCTACCCTCACATCAGAAGCCAGGTACAAATTCCAGAGTTTCCAGGTCACCCACACTTCTGATCAACTGACTACCAATACAGGGGTTTTCAGTACTCCCCAATGTATTATAGTTAGCTAAAATGATTCACAGAACTTGTACTTGCATGTTCAGTTGCTCAATTGTGTCCAACTCTTTGTGACCCCATGGACTGTAGCCTGCCAGGCTCCTCTGTCCATGGGATTATTTTTTTATTGATTTGACTGTACCAGGTCTTAGTTGCAGCATGCAGGACTTTTCATTGTGGCATGTGGGCTCTTTAGTTGCAGCGTAT